AGAAATGCAGTTCACTCCCCTGACTTAATATGTCTTAAATTTGTGCCTTTTTGAACCAGCCTTCTACTGCACTGTGCAGAAGCTTTCCTGCCTTACAGATATGATAAGAGACAATTAGTTTGCAATTCGCAAAAGATGGGACAAAAGCTGTGAAAATATTTAGGCATCCAATCCCTGTCACACTTGGCAGACTTCGTGTGCCTGACTAGGCATTAAATACTTAGGAATCTTCAAGTAACTTGGCCTTGGAGATTTTTGAGTAGAAATTGCCCAGTAGAGCCTTCCTTTTTTTTTTTTTTTTTTTTAATCATTCTGATGAGAGAATCACAGATGATAATCTTGAGACACAACAGAAGAATCTTCTGGCTTTGAAAAGTGACAGCAGTGAAGACCAGGTGGTCACAATTCCCATGTGGTTGCATGATCTGATAAAGACACTTCATCAGGTCCTTGTGGAAGAACAATTTTTTTTCATAATAGCCTGCACTCTAAACTTCTCAAAGGAAAATGGCCAGTTTGTCATCAGTCTGGCCACTCTTGATTTTTATTTTTTTTATATATGCTCTGTTAAAGAACGCTTTGGAAAACTTCCCTGAGCTGACAGTGATCACTCGGGACCCCAAGGCAAAATGTGGAGGAACGTCCGTGTCCAAGATCAAAATGAATGGGAAAGCTTACAACAAAAAAACACTGAGGGCTTCGAAGTCAACCACTAAATTAGCACAGGTGAGTCCTCAGAGGGGTTTGGTGCTGCCACCATCTGACTTGTGATATGATAACCACATTTACGTGGGTATAAAATGCTGCTTCGTGTATGAGGTGTTCTGGTAGGTTTATCAAAATTAAAATCTGGGGGTGAGGTGCTTTTTCTGTGACAAGGGGCTGTTAAAAACCGACATTAAAAGCAGTCCATTAAATCATTATTTTAACTCATCTACAATAGATAGTTTGTCACCCATCAATTTGGTAGGAAAGGATTTAAGCCTTGGTCATTCTTGCAGTAGTTGCTGGAGAGGAGGTGTTTTGCCTCTTTTGGACTTGCAGTGCATTCAGGAGAACTGAAAGCATTCCCAAACCTGGTTTTGATGAAACAATGTGGAAAGTGGAGATGGGAGATAAACTATGATATATTTTAAGTTACAGTTTGGCAAAATGTGTCAAAATAATGATTGGAATGAAGCACTCCATTTCTGAATTGTTGAAAAAAAAATTTGTTTACAGAAGAAAATATCTGTAATATATCTTGCTAAATAGTGTGAATTTACATAAAAGAATTGTTCTTTTTGCAGGAGTTTACAGTAGATCCAGAAAAAATACAGTTGTATTCTTTATATCACTCACTCCATCATTACAAATATCACATATATCTAACATGTAAAGAAGAGGTAAGTAGTTGTTCTCATTGAGCTAATTTTACATGCCTTGAGGAAATTTATTGAGGGAATTGAGTCCCCCTGGAGGGACTGTTCTCATCTTCTCAGTAGATGAGTATGGATTGAGGCCTCCTATTGGGATTGATTCTTTCTGGCAAATAAAAGGTACACTGAGCACACATATTGCCCCAGTGGGCACTGCTGCTCACAAGAGTCAGATATGAGGCTTTCAAAGTTTGTGTGATTCCCTGAACTATTCTCCACTGTTATCCAAAATAAATTAAAAAAAACCAAACAAATTTCATCAGTGTGTGTAACTCCTCAGATCTGGAAGCTTATTTTGTCTTAGAACGCCACTCCTTTATTTTTTCTGCAAATTCTTGGTGGAAATATTTCAGGTAGCAGAAACACAAGAGTTGAGCTCTGGCTTGGTTTGTTAAGAAATGCATTTCTGGGGGCGTTTCCTCTTGGTTTTAAAGCATATAGTTGTTTGGGTTTTTTTTTTTCCCAAGAAGGTTCATATTTAACTGCAGACCTATAAAAATGAAAATTCTTAAATTCTGGCAGCCTAACTTGTGTGTGTGTGTGTGTGTGAATCTCTCTCTCTCCCCATCCTTCTCTGTTTTTTAAATAGATTTCTTCTGTTCAGAAGACGAGCGCAGACCTCGGCCAGGAAGAGATCGTGCAGCTGTGCATGAAAAACATCAAATGGGTGGAGGATCTCTTCGAAAAGTTTGGTGAACTTTTGAATCGCGTGCAGCAGAAATGCTCATAACAAAAGTGTATCCCAAATCTCCCTTTTTTTTTTTTTTTTTTTTTAAATTTTCATTTTTTTTATTTTCCCTACGGCACTAACCTGATGGAACAGAAGGCTCCGAGAGAGGCTCTGATTTCTTTCCCAATGCCAGACTGCTTCTCGTTTCGTAGCCATTTTTATTTTCTCCTTCTGGAACTTTGTGCCTTGGCTCGTGCTGAGGAAAAGTGATGCTGCCAAGGAAAATCAGTCCTTTGAAGATGGAACTAAACATAAAAACCTAACCACGTTTTTAACCTGGAGAGTTGGTTTCTATTTTGTAAACTATGGGATAACTTAGTTTTATTTTCAGAAATGTTTTTGACAAGTGATAAAGCATGCACTACATATACTTTTTTCTTCTCTCTTTTTTTTTTTTTTTTTTTACTGCTCAACAGATAACAACACTTAAAATACTGCAGATTTTTCCATCCCTGACTTGGTGAGAGAAAAGTCAGTGTTGGAGTGAACTAATTTTTACGTGTCTGGCCGCCAAATTTAGAGTTTTTGTACATTTTGTAAACAGAGCCGGGGTGACATCAATTTCTGCATCCGCATATTGCCATCATAAAATCCAGAAATTTCATTATGCTTTATGGACTCCTTTTACTATTGTCATGTTCAGGAGACTGAACATGGAGTTGGTGCAATCCTATGACTGCTTTTGTGTCAAATTATATTGTAATGAAAGACAATGACCTTAACTATTTTCCCTGTTTTGAAGAAAAAAATATTTTCCTTTATACTGTGTCTTTTTTTTTTTTTCTTTTGGAAAAAAAAAAAATTCAATTGTACATTTTATCTCACTAATAGTTGTATTTTTCACAGAGGAAATATTGTGGTTAAAATTGTTACATGTATCTTTGTAATACACTTTCCATTGTTTTCAGTAAATCCTATTCATTTATATGTTGATTTCATATTGTAAACTATGTATCTCGAGGTAACCCTTTTGTTTATACAGGTTTGCTTCAGTGTTAACCAGAATAATGCATAATGCATACTAGACTAGTTTTGCTTTAGGTGTAGTTGTGTTAGACACTGCAATTATTATTTTCTGATACGTGAAAATAAATTTCTTACTAAACTAGCACTTGATTAACTGAGAGTTTAAATGAAGAGCTACTACACTTTATTATCTTGGTCAACAAAGACTGTTGATTGAATAGACTATATATGCAGTGTTAAACACAGCTTACATAATCGTTTGTAGAACTGGCAGTTGCAGAGCTGTTCTCTTTTTGGTGCCTTTTCAAGTCTTCAGACATCTTTGTAGCTTTTTTATTTTTCCCCCCTCCACCCCCTCCAGTTTGTTAACAGTCTCGTAGTGCCACTAGTCACACTCAGACAATGAATGTAATGGGCTCTAATCAGGAGAACATTTTCTTTAAATTTGCCAACAGAATGCCTTACTGAGTCACTCACGATGGATATGTACTCTACTGGCGTCCTAAAAAAAAGAAAAAAAAAAAAAAGTCACGTTGGTCTTTTTTCAGATAATGTAGAAAAAGAAAAACTTCATTCCTTTATCCTTTCACTGCCACTTAGTGCCTTAATTTCAGCCAAGAAAGCAGGGTTCACTATTCATTGGCCAAATGAAATAATGTTCATTGCCATGTGAGCTTTTCCCCGTGTTTTGATCCTGTTTAGTTGTTAAATATTCATTAGACCGTAGAAGTATAAAGAGTTTAATGAATAGATGTGAAGATGAAATTATTTGATCTTGAGTAAGCAAATAGAGGTTTGAATATTAAAGTATGTACAGAGTTTTAGCTGGTTAGATTTAGAACCTGGTAGGATGTTTACCGTATTTCCAAAGCTTTTCATCCTTAAATAGCAATAATTCTCCTTTCCAATCTGTGTGCAGACTCCAATGAACAGAAATGGGGGTGTGCCCTTGCCTTTTTTAAAGCCTCTCCGTCGTGGTTTTTCTTTAAAAAAGGAGGCCCCACGTCACTAAATGCATTGTGCTACTGCTGTGTCTGCAACCGTCGAGGAGAGTGAGATGGGTTTGGGTTTAGGAAGGATATGCAGATGTTTTAGAGCAGTCACGGAGCTGATTAATTTTCCCAGGGAGAAGAAGGGTAACCACAGGGGTGAAGAGTTTCAGTCATACTCAGCCTGCTAGGAGCTGGAGTTTATAGAGTGTGGAAACCAAACAGCAAAGTTGCCAACCTTGCTAGCAATCAGATCAAACTATTTTTGTGTAAATATGCACACTGGAGGCATGGTAGAAACGTGCCTGGTGTACTCCTGAATCCAGAGTGGGGATTCCCAAGTTTCCTTAGTGTGTTCCCTCGTTGCTGGTTGTGCTTGGCAGTGTGTGTAGGTTCAGGAGAGGGGTTTACTTGCCCAGGCAGAGCTCTGTTGTCACACTGCAGTGATGTGCACAGCACAGTTGGGAAATTCCTGGTCTGTAGATCTGAAAATGCTTGGGATACAGACTGAGGGAACAATGGAGTTGGCTCCTTGGTGGGTGTAGTGAAGAGCTCATCAGACTTTGCCTCTCTCACCCCCCCTTCCTAACATGACTGTGAAGCTGCAGGTTGAGAGAGGTGTCTCTGTGCTTTCTAAATGATCACTGTACCACTACTGTGTACTGACTCGAGGTTTTGGAATCGAGAAGTAGCTTTAGGAAGCTGCTTTCAGTCCTTGGAAGCTGAAAAAAAAAAAAAACAAACCCCACAACAAAAATGAGAGGCTTTTGGAGTAGCTTGTCCCTATTTAAAAAGAAGGTAATTTTAGCAATATTTTTAAAAAGATCCAAAACCAAGAAAAAAGGGGGCCAGGATGCTCTGCACTGCCATAGAAGGTGACCTGGCTTATTTTTGGTTGTTTTCTTCCCAAGGCCAGTTAAACAAGCACTGTGCCTGTAGAAGACAGGGGGAAAAAAACCTGTCGTGAATAAAAGTAACTACCCCAGTCTGTTAAAGATTAATGTAGTGGAGCTTCCATCTTTGTCTTGGGCTGCAAAAATGGTGGCTGAATTATTAATTTACCAAATTAGAATAAGTGAAACCACGGAACTCTAGAGTGTGGTGAAGGGGCATAAACCAAAATAAAGCTTCCTTAGTGGGATTGAAGAGTTTTTTTTTTATACTGAAGCAAACTTAGGAAAAAAATCAATGATGTACAAATTACTTTTTTGCACAAAAACTTTGCTCTGTTTTGTTGCGTTTTAGGTGATTGATTCTGCACCCACACTTCAGTTCTTTTTCCCTTGAAGTAACAGTGAGGTCTTCATCCCTTAACCTCTGACAGTGGAAATCGAGCACTCATGTGGCTGCAAGAGAAGATGCACTAGGAAGGAACAAAGCCCTCCTTAGACTATGAATTAGCAAAAACAGGAATGAAAGCAATTGCGTAATCTATTATTTGGTTTTTAATTCCACTTTCTTTCTTTTAGTGTGGCCTCCCATTCTGCACTGGGTTTGGTTTTTATTCAAATACAGTATTTCTCTGAAGGGCAGGTTTTCTTTGAGATGCTACTTCCAAAGTTTTGCTAGTAAAAAAAAAAAAATCGGAGGCAAAATTGGATTGAGGCATTTGTTTCTGAAAACAGCGAAGGGCTTTAGGATCTCTGAAGTTCAGTGGCATGTATTGTATTCATATATTGTCGGAATGAAATGCTACTTTTTAAAAAGTCAGATCTTACAGGCTGTCTTCCAAGTAAATGATTTCCATAGGAAATATATTTTAAATATTATTTAAATATTTACTACTATTTAAAACGATTTTAAAACAGAAGAGCTAATACTATGGTCACAAAATGTCAGTGTGTCATCAACCATTTCTTATTTCGTTGCCAAGCACTTGACATTTGGTCTCTCTTTTACCCTGTTACATTACCTGTGCATTATAGAATGCACATCCTGCCATATTTTATTGTTTAAGCTAATATGAACATGTCATTGGTAATAAATGCATGTTTTCCTGCATATCTGCTCTACATATGGCAAAAATGAAGCTAGGGCTAATTAAGAGACACTTTATGCATTCTTAGTCCAGATTTTCAGGTGGTCCATAATACAATGTATGGAAATGTGAAAAAGGACAGTTTTGTACCATTCATGATGTTATTTACTGAACCCATTAAAGTGAAAACACTTTTTAAACAAAAACCTTATAATGCTTAGTCATTTATTGTTACAGTATCAAGCCTCGGAAAGTTAGATTGTTGGAAACAAATTGGCAGTTTAGATTACTTTTTCTGACTGCAGTGTGGAGAAGAACAGTTCCAGGGTTTGGGGTTGTTTTTCCACTATATTGCATGAATTGAGCATGTCTGGTTGATCTGGGATTTTTCCAGTTACGGGTTCTGAATGTTCTGAATTAATTTTCACAATGTATTTGCCAGGTCTTAAACTGCTGGTGATGAGTGAGGGTAAGATAGAGAATACTGCTGTAATTCAAGTGGGTTTTACCTACAGTATTTTCACTTGTTCTATTTCTTGCTAAATTAGAATATCATCTCTATGCATCTGTGGGAAGAAATGGTTACTCCAGAGAGTTTTGTTATATTTTTTCCCCCACGGGTGACAATGAATTACTCTGGATAGTCTTAAAGCTGTTTTTCCTTCAGACAGAGGGCTGAATCTCACGCTGTGAATATTGTCCATAAGATCTATGGCTGGAGAACAAGGAGAATCTGAAGGGCTGGAATATTTTCTTTTTTTTTTAATGGCTCTCTGTATAAGTTGCTTCCCAAACCAAGATGAGTATAAAGTGAGTCATTTGCCCATGAAGTTGATTGTTGTTTTCTCAAAACAAAACAAAACAAAACAAAAACCACAACAAAACAAACAAACAAAAAACCACTTTGGGAAGCAAGTAGGCAGAAAATGTCCTGTTGCAGGGTGGAAGCTGAAGATTTTGATACTGTGTTTCAGATATGTTATAATTTTATGAAGGGTTGTTGTTGTTTTATTTTTAAAAGTAAAAGCAAGGCAAGAAGCTGAATGTACACACTTTTTAAAAGAGAGCATCAGCTCCTGCTGTCAGCAGTTTGGGGGTAAGTATCTTGGGCAATCAAAATTACTTGCTTTGCATTAGGTATTTGCCTCTCCCATAGATAACCAACAAATCTTTGTTTCATTTCCAGAAAATGAAGTACAGAAACGTGTCTTAAAATTCTTTCTGTTTGATCTCTCACAAGAATACAGCACTAAATACAGAGAACAAGGTGTTTATAAAGGACAAAAATAAATGGTGAGTCAGGGAAAACAGCAAACAAAATTTCAGGGCTGTATTGTACCTCTTTTGCCCTGGGTATGTCTTAGGTTTCTGCTTTTAAAAGTTCCACTGGGCATTTTCTTTTGTGTGTGTGTGTTTTAGTTTGGGTTGGTTTGGTTGGGTTTTCTTAGCTTTTTGATGCCCAGAGGGAATCAGCAGTAACAGCAGAGCCAGGACTGAAGGAGCAGTTTAAGACCCTTGATTTTAGGGGGGAAAAAAATTGGGAATAATTTGGGAGGGCTCCTATGTATGTGATGGTTTGTACAAGGAGGAATCTAAGGGAGAAGAGGGGTGGGAAGCTGCAAGAAACATGGGGCAGATGTAGGAGGACATTGGAAAGGAAGAATTTGGGAAGTGAGAACACCCTGAAACAGCCCTTAGAGGAGGGGCGTTCAGTCAGTGAACAGGAGTGATGCAGATGTGTGAGCAATGAAGTCAGCAGGAACTGAGCTGCAAAACTTCCATCCAGTGAATTAACTTGAACTGCTGCAACTGAGCCCTGATGGAACGTGCTGACTGCTGATAATACAGTTTGTGTAACAGCTTCAGGCTCAGAGTAATTGTCATCTTTTAGACACACACAGGAGAATTTGTGCATCTGATTCTGTGTGTATGATAATGATTATAGATGGTAGTGGTCACTCTTAGATCCGGTCACTAATGCTTTGAATTTTAAAAATTCAATTTAAAAAGCTGTGATTGATTTTTTTTCATAGGTGCTTTTGGCTCAAATTATGAATAAATGAAGTTTCTTTTTATTCTACATGTGTTACTTGAAATCTTAAACTCTGTCACTGGAAGTACATGCTGTAGCCTTCTCACACTTCCAGGGCAAAAATTTAAGTAAAATTGTTTTGTTTTCCATCATCCTTTCCTCTCTAACCATGGTGGCTGCTGTTGTGACCTGTCTATGCATTATTTATGTATCAGATATTTTGGCTGGGACAACAGAAGGTAAATGATAGGATAATTGAATAAAAGCTGAAGCATCAATGTTTTATCATGAGGTTAGGTCAAATGGGCAAGTCATTCAAAGCTCTGGGAGTATAAGGATTTCAAGCAGCTTTGGTGGTTTCTGCAAGCTCCCAGATTTTTGGTGGTGGTCAGAATGCAGAAATCCCCGTCCCTCCAGCTTTCACAACACAAGACAGTAAGGGAACACTTCTTTGTTTCAGTGCAACGTCCAGCAACTTTGTTTAAACAGCCAGAGAGGTGGTTTGACCACAGTCAGTGGACTTTGTACTAAAGGAGTTGAAGAGAATGCTCACGTGTTCTGGGAGAATCCAAGTGTTGCAATTCTGGAACCAACTGGTTTAAAAAAACCCCACCAACCAGGTAATGAGAACTGCTTGTCCAGGGATTATTACTTCCTTTTTGACAGGCACTCTGCAAGTTCCTTTTGACCTTTAGTGGAGTGATAAAGCTCTCTGTGGGATCCTTCCAGGGCCATTTTCCCATTCTAAACTGTGGGCCTGGCAAAACATGGCATAATTGAGTTTGGTGGCCCCAGCACATTGCACTGTAATATAAAAGGTAAATTACAGATTCCTACTTCTAACATGCATAAACAATAAACCTGATTCTCTTCTCTAGAGCATAAGTGCTATGTAGCCAATTGCTAAAGAAGTCAAACCAAAGGGTCAAAATCAGGAATTCAGTTTTGCTCAGCAAATCCATTTAGATTTCTCATTTTCCTCCCCCTTCAGCTCCCTCTACCCTGGGGTAGCTCAGTTGTGTAGAGCACAGTGGTAATAATGCCAGGGCTATGGGTTTGATCCCTGTAAGGGCCATTCACTTACAAGTTGGGCTGGATGATCCTTGTGGGTCCCTTCCAATCAGAATATCCTGTGATTCTGTGATTCTATCCCATTAAACTGGTGCCACCAGTGACTGCTCACCTGGGGAGTGGGAACGTGGAACTTGTCGATGATAAGTTAGCACCTCACCATGCCTCAGGTGGACGTCACTGCTCATTCAGCTGGTCCTTCACAGGCTCTCCAGAGTTCTCCAAACTGGTGAGAGCTGCTCCCCTAATTCTTTGTGGCCTTTCCTCTTTCACAGCAATATGAGTTGGTGCCTTTGGGTTTGTGGTGCAGTGTACAGGAGTTTCACCTCTGGTCGGTGGCCGCAGCTCACCTGAGAACTGGTAACTCCCAGTGGGGCAGAGAGTGACTCCTCACATTTCAATTATTCAGTGTGTCTGATTGCACTTGCCCATTCTGGTTGAACAGGTTTGTGGTGTGTAGATGGCAGTGAGTCTTTACTGTTCTGTGAGGAGTTGTTATCCAAACAAGTGACCGTGCTGTCTCGTGGTGCAGTCAGCCTCTGGCTAGAGTACATAATCCTGCTTGGAAAATCCCAGAAAACCTCCTCAAGAGGCAAAAGTTGAAAAACCCATTTAAGGCAAAATCCTGTTAAATTTATTAATGAGGAGCCTCTGAGGAGCAGAGGCTTGTGACATCACTACTGGTGGTTTTGGTGACCTCACTAATAGTCTTTGCCCCCTGTGCGCTTCCATTTCCGTACCACAAACCGCCTCGGGTCATCCTGTCCACAACCTGCTCCCTTTCCCGGCGCTGTGTGCGGGCTCCAGGGAGTGCAGTTCCACCGGGGGTCACTGTGCACCAGCACAGGCTCCGTGCTGCTCCTCCCTGCCCTTCCCCTGCCACTGCCCTGCCTGCCTCAGTCCCGCAGGCACACTGGTATTCCAGCCCGGGAACGGGAGGATTGGAAGCATTGTGCCCCTGAACAATGTGCCTTTTGTCCACTCGCAGTCAAGTCACCCAGAAAGCTTCTGCCCTGGGAACTTTGTCTACTGTTCCAAAATGCCAGGGTGGAATCCTGACAGATTTCGCTTTGTTATCAAACACGGGAGTCGCGCCTGGGGAGTAAATGGTGCTCGTGCCAAGCCAGAGAGCAGCTTGCAAGTGGCTTCTCCGCGGTGGGACAGAGGTGGAGTTTGCTCTGGGTTGAATGCTGCTGGGTGGCATCCCTGTATCCCACAGAACCTGCTGCTACGTGGTCGTTTGTAATTCAGAGAGGAAACTGGGACTAAGTGGGGTGAATTGGTGGCTAACCTGCTCTGCACTGTAAAGGAGAGTGTCCGTCCTCTCCAGCCAGTGGAGTTCAGCCCCGAGAAGGGAGATTCACTGCAGGAATTCTGTCATCTGCCTTCACATCTGTCCAGTATATCAAACAGCCCTTTGCAATCCAATATTGACGAATAGCCGTTCATTTTCTTAAATTTGAGATTAATAGAGAAGGAAGAGAGTTTTCCAATTTTTATAGGTCCACTTGAGTATGAAAAAACAACCTGTTGGACTTGTACCTTCAAGGAATGAAGAGAGGAGATTTCATAATGTCATAATGATTGTGACCTAAAAAAATAGCAATTTCTGTAACTGAAGCTGTTCTTTTCCCTTACATGAGTATCTCTGTGTGACAGTGTGACATATGTTGAACTTTGTCTCGACATTTGTGAATGGAATGGAGCAACATTTTAAGGGTTATTGTTTAAAATGTTCTCCTTTCATCAGCTTCACCGCTGTAGAGAATACAGGCATTGTTGATACTTAAGTGGGGAAAAAACAGAAGAGTAACTGTTCTAAATAACTGGAATATTTTTCTGAATTTTTATGGTAATTATTAATGGCTGTGCTTCTTCAGAAACAGCCACAAAGGTTGGGTTCAAGAGATCCTCATGATTATGGCAATAAAGTTTTATGTATGTATGCATTTAAGCTGTGTTGACATGTACTTAATCTTTAAAGCTTATATTGTTATGGGAAGACATTTGAAATCCAAAGATAAAAGTTTGGTATAGGAGAGAGAGCCTTCTGACGTGTGAAATGTGTTATCAGCATTTGAAATGCAGAGTTCTGTGCTAACCATTAGGGAAAGCGGGATCTAAATTCTATTGAAAATAAGAAATTGGATAGTGTTTTTCTGCAAGAACCCCCCTTTATTTCGTAGCCAATTTTCAGTGACAAATCAATATCTATTATTGGCACTTGAAATCTGAATAATAATTGGAACATTAAACACTGCTTGGTTTTATAGCATCTTGTGTTCAATTATATCTCCTATATGATCCTTTTGTAGGTGGTAGGAGTATCTTGGCTGGAAATAAATTAAAATAGATTTTTATCTTGCTGTTCCTTGCTATAAAAGTTCTTTATGACAGCTGCAAAGGATCTGACATAACTGTACAAATTAAGACTCGGTTGCGTAATTTGTTAAAAATACATTTTTAGTCGCCCTAACTGTATCACGAAATTGTTGCTCTGTGCAGCTTCACACAACATTAATAGGCAGAGAGCCAACAGTAAAGCAGGAAAGCATTTTTATAAAATGGTGTTATTTTAAGAAAGACCAAAAGACAGCAGTTTTCAGCATCCTTTGATACCAGATATTGTATCAAATACCAGCAGTATTTTGACAAATCATTCTCTGGTGTAAGGTGTAATGTTGTTTTGAGGTGATCGGTGCACCTCCTATTTGAAAATGTTTGTGGTTTTAAATTCTCTCCAGGTTAGGTGAACCGCTGCAGAATGATTTGCTGCATCACTTTATTTCAACAAGCAGGCTAAAATAAATTATTTTTAAAAATTAAAATGAACTCTGGCATTCACCGATTTTCAATTCTATTTTGGCAATGCCTCAAAAAACTGCTACAAAAGGCCTCAAACTGCTACAAAAGTAGGGAATAATAAAATAGTGTATCATGGAAATCCCCACTAACCCATGCATTATGTGTTATTCTTAATGGCACCTGTGAGCCAAGACAACTTCTTTTTTAACATCTTCCCCCAAGAAAGAAACCTCTGTTTGTGACCTTCATTTTCAAAGGCTGGCATTTTGCTACAGTTTGAATAGGTTCCTTTTTCTCTGGGCCCAGCAATTCAAGACTTCCTTATCTGAAAACCTTCACAAGAACTTCCACTCCTAGAACTCCCATTATTAAATACTGTATTGCTCAGGCAATAAAACATGAAGAAGTTTGAGCGGGCTGAAGTTTCCCAGGGGATTTTGTTTTGCAAAACTGCCATCAACAGTTCAATAATCCGATAACTCAAAATTAATTTTTGCATCATCTTTGTAACGTCTTTATTGTTTGGTCTTTTATGTGCAGTATGTACCTCTGAGTTTGTATATCGTGGAGATCGATTTGGCTTTGTTCCTCTTGAAATCAGTCTGAAAACGTGATTGATTTTATGTCGTTCTAATACACTTTCATTGAGTAAGAATGAATTATCAAAATAATCCATACTTAGAAAATGATGGTGAATCTCCCAATAATTTGCTGCAGACAGTAGAAGAAAACTTCTATTACCGTGAAAGTGAATTTATTATTTCATTGCAGTGAGAAATGCCTGTTGCTATAATAAAGAGCTCATAGAAGACACCAGAGGAAAACTTCAACCATATGTGGGTGTTCAAGCCATACGTGCTGGTGACAGCCACGGACAGTGTTCACTTGTTCAGCCACCGTCACACACGAGGCCTGTGCTCAGGTTAACCCACAGGACTAGATCTGGCTGCTTTGGGGTTTTAAATGACATGGTAAATCAGGAGAGATTAATTAAGAGACACATGGAGCTCCTGGAGTGGGTCCACCAGAGTGCAGCGAGGATGATTGGGGGACTGGAGTATCTCTTACGAGGAAAGGCCGAGGGAGCTGGGTGTGTTCAGCCTCAAGAAGAGATGACTGAGAGAAGACCTCGTTAATGTGTGTAACTATTTAAAGGGTGGGTGTCAGAGGATGGATCCAGACTCTGCTCGGTGGTGCCAAGCAACTGGACAAGGGGCAACGGGCAGAAACTGATGACAGGAAGTTTCACCTTAGCATGAGGAAGAACTTCTTTACAACAGATTGCCCAGTGGAGTTGCACTCACTGCTGCCTATGGATCCCACAGTTCTTATTTGGAGGGCTGTGTACAGTTCTGGGCTCCTCAGTACAAGAAAGACAAGCTACTGGAGAGGATCCACAGAGATGATGAGGGAGCTGGAGCACGTTCCTTAACAAGAAGAGACTGTGGGAGCTGGACCTGCTTAGTCTAGAGAAGACTGAGAGGGCATTTCATCAATACATATAAATTTCCCAAAGGCAGTGGTGCCTGGAGACAGGACGAGGAGCAGCGGCCATAAACTAGAACACAAGAAGCTCCACCTCAACACGAGCCAAAACTTCTTCCCCCTGAGGATGGCAGAGCACTGGAGCAGGCTGCCCAGGGAGGTCGTGGAGTCTCCAGGGACGTTCAAACCAGAGCTGGATACGTTCCTGTGCCACCTGCTTCAGGTGACCCTGCCTTGGCAGGGGGGCTGGACTGGACGATCTGCAGAGAGCTCTTCCATCTCCGGAGATTCTGTGATTGTTCAGGAAACTAAACCGCGTCGGCGGGCAGGCGGGCAGCGCCCGGAGGAGGCACACCGGGCCGTCGCTGCCTTTTGTGCCCCGGGCTCGGGCACCTCCCCGGGGCGTGGGTGCGGCAGCTCCGCCCCCGCGGGTCCCTCCCTGAGCCGCGGGCCCGCCCGGCTCCGGCACATCGCGGGGACGGAGCTCGCCATGGCCACGGTGCGGGAGAAGGCGGCCGCCCTGAACCTCAGCGCCGTCTGCAGCCCCGCCGCCAGGCCCCCGGGTACGGCCGGGGAGAGCGGGGATGGGGGGAACGGGGAGCAGGGAAGGGGGCGAGGGGCTGCCCGCACTCGGGACGGGACGGGACGGGACGGGGCTGTCCCGCCGTGGGATGGGGGCTGGAGCCGTCCCGCTCCCCGCCGGCTGCGGCCCCGTGCGGCGCCTTTCCCGGCTCCCAGAGGTTCAAAAGTTGGCCGCGCTCCGGACCCGGGAGGCGCTTCCTCAGGGGGGCCCCGTCCGGGATGTGCCGGCACCGGAGCAGCTCCGGGACAGGGAGAGAGAGCCCCGGCAGAGCCCGGAGCTGCGGGCGGGGAGGGGGACGGGGAAATGCGGGGCAGCTGCGTGGCCAGAGAGCGGGCTGGGGTGCAGAGCAGGTGGCGCTCGCTGGGAGATGGTTTTTGGTTTTCTTTCCTACCTCCAGCGCCTTAACTTTGTGGAATCTTGTAACCTTGGCGCCACGCGTGTACCTCCCTCAAGTCTCTTCTGCGGTGTTGTAAGGCAGAGGCGATAAAGCCGTGGTTAGTAGTAAAACAGGTCGTATGTGTTGGTATTTATTTTAGCAACGGAAGCCAGTGTTGGTGTGTGTGTTTGGTGGTGTCGAGCTTGGGCTGTTTTTTCCTTCTGAAGAGGTCAGTCTGCTGTTCAGGTGTAGGGGTTGAAAGGGAATTATGCGTCCTGTTGAGTTTTTTTTCTGCCTGCCTGAAGGTGTCATCAGGTTAAAGTAGCAGCAGGTGTGTGTGCCTTGTCTGTCTTGTACGTTTAAAACTTTGGAAACTGTGGGTTCTGGAAGATTTCTACCTTGGCTGGCTCAATGCTGTGCATTAAAAAGCTTTTTTTTTTGTTTGTTTGTTTTTTCCCGTGACATGAATCTTTTCAGAAAGATAACTGTTGCTGCCCTTTATAAGTGTCGGTGTGTTCAAATTGTATTGTATTCTCTGCTTCCCCATCAGTCTTTACTGCGCTCTCTACCTTCCCGTCTCCCTGTGCTAATTTGGTAATTTCTGGGCTTTCTGGTAGATGGAGATCAGCTGGAAACACTGGTGTCCCAAACTGGAATACAATTCTCTAAGTAAAACCACTTCAGACTAAACAGAACAGGGAAAAAAAAAAAAAAGACACCTCCTGCATCTCTGTGGAAAATGCTCATGGTAATATGTTCCAGAAGGAGTTGCATGTTGTTTTTTTTCAAACACTGCATGGCACTGTTAATTCATTTGGTTTGAGGTCTGTCACAATCCCAGATGGCCTTCTGTAGGATTGCTGCCAGCTCTTCATTCCATATTTTGTCCTTCAGCTTTTGATTTCCCTCTTCTTCCTCTGTTTTCCTCTCTTACTAAATTATTCATCTGACTTACTGAAAAACATGTTTTCTAATTCCAGTCTCTCTGGTGGCTGCAGCCCTTCCCAGTTAGGTGCCACCTGTAAACTTCGTGTTTTCAAGTCCTTGTGGAGCCTGAGTGTAGCCTCTGGTCAAACTGTTGGCTGCTGGCACATTGCTCTAATCAGACTGGTAAATGAGTAATAGTGCAGTGGCTTTACTGGGGGAGGGAAGGCTCAAGGAAGTGGCACTGAGCACACAGAGCCAAGGTCTCAGCAGGACCTTGTTTGGTGGGACAAGTGTCTCAGGAGAATCCTTGAACGTGTTAGTGATGTGCTAATAAGCACTGATACTGGGGAGCTGGTGTGTGTGCGCAGTCCTGCAGGAAACGAGGTTTTGATGTGTCTCTTCATCCCTGCTCCCCTCTTCCCTGCCCAGCTGGGGAGTGTTAGGAGAGGAACTAACAGGGCAGTTGCCGGTTCATGGCTGTGGGACACGCGTGCCCAGGAGTAGGTTCTACAAGTGTCACCGTTAGGTGACAGAGGGACACACAAAAGGGCAGTGCCAAAAAGAGAGGCTGAAGAAAACAGGAACTCGTGGTCGAAAAGCTTTAGGCTGATGTAGTCAGAGGAACCACCAGAGAGAGAGACACACACACGGCAGACAGACCTGCTAAGGAAGTAACAAAGTGCTAATGCACGAGCAACCCAAGCCAAAGTGGAAGTCTCAAAGATTTTTGAATCCTTAGGAGATTCATGAGAGCTAGGAGGCGGAAAGGGGGCTGTTCTGTTCTAGCTGCAGCATGAATTCAGCCTTTGTTGTCTCTGTTCTCAGGCTTTAGCTTGGCTCAGAAGCCGTTTGGAGCGACGTACGTCTGGAGCAGCATTATCGGCGCTCTCCAAACCCAAGTGGAAGTGAAGAAGCGCCGCCAGAACCTGAAGTGCTACCACGACTGCTTCATTGGCTCGGATGCTGTGGATGTGGTGTTTGCCCATCTCCTGCAGAACAAGTATTTCGGGGATGTGGACATTTCCCGCGCCAAGGTGGTGCGCGTGTGCCAGGCGCTGATGGACTACAAAGTGTTCGAGGCTGTTTCCACGAGGGTCTTCGGGAAGGACAAGCGCTCTGTGTTTGAGGACAGCAGCAGCAGCCTCTACAGGTTCACAAATGCCTCGAGCCAAACAGAACTTGATAAAGACTACCTGCAGTGCACCCCACAAAGGTCAGTGCGTGGAGCGTGAAGGGAAGGATTCCTTTAAAAACGACGTGAAGTGTTGTGGGGGAGAGAAGGGAAAACTGCTGTGCAATTACAGGACCTGGGGGGGGGAAATAGATACTGCACACATGAGGTGTTTGTGGGTGGAAGACAGGTAGGAAGGAGCAATTTGAAGAGAGTAAATCACTCAGCCTGCGTAGTTACTTGTTTTCTGTGGCTGTTATCACATTGCCTTGGGGGAGGGAGGTAGGAGGGTAGAAATTAAGTGCATTTTGATAGTGGTCTAAAGCCATATAACCACCTGGAATTCAGGTGCATCAAACAGGAATAATGCAACAGAGCAATCTTTAGTCACTGCACATCTGGCTCTGGCGTAAACCACTAATCCATGCATCTTTTAAAAGAAAAATTGTTTTCTCCTTTCATCATCTTGGCTTCTCTAGACTTCAAATTTAGCTTTTCTTTTATCCTCTTCTTTATGCATGTATGACTTCTTCCTAGCCTATGTGGCAGGCTGTTTTGCTGTTTATACAGTTAATACAATAGTTTTAGCAATATGCACTCTTGAAAATTGCAAATGTTACTGACCTGAAAAAAAACCCTCCTTATGTGATTGACCTGTTAATGAGAGTAGCAAATATGAACTTGAATGCATCAACCCTGATGAAAATATTACAGAAACAGAATGAAAATAGTTTCTTGGTCTGTCTTCTCCCCTCTGTACTAAATCAAACAGTCCCAAGTCTTTATTTGGAAAGAGGAGAATTTGCAAGAGATAATAACACTTTAATCAAGTGTGGTACTTACAAATATTTTCATTACAAGGTTGTTAAAGCAGACTTAGAACATATTGGACAAACAGTCATTAAACAGGACTATTCATGTTTTATTATTGTTGAATGAAGGTGGTTTTCTTCTGGGCAGGGCACAGATCCATTGGGTTACTGTTCTTCATTTAGAGAAAGGAACAGATCCATCGATCCATGCACTTTGTCACATCCATAGGAAGGACAGTGGGCATCGGAAGGATTTTTGCAGTGCCCTAGACCAAAGAAACCCTGGGAGTTGAAATGAAATAGATATGCTTGGAGGAATGATAATTTTGGGGCTGGAGCAGTACCTCTGTCTGCTCCACAGCCTGTGCAGGCAGTTGTGAGAAGAACTGGCCAACACACAGAAGCAGGGGTGGCAGGTTTCTGAAGGCTTCCATTAGCATGAACAAGCCCCATAACTCTGGAGCAATCACCTCCTTGGTTTTTCAAGAACACCTCTAAATGTTTGTCCCTGCTTCACTATCATGGATGTCTTAAAACTCTGGAAGTTTTGAGGGGGGAATCCTATTGGGGTTTGGAAAATTAATTTCCCCTGCTTAACCATTTATGCTCTTAAACTTTCTCTGTGGTAATTGAAGTAGCTGTGACAAGTTCTAAGGGAGGAACTGTGCACACAACTGTTACATGCAATTAATTCTTTAAGGTATATCATGTTCTCCTGGATGACTTGGACAAAGGAAGTGTCAGGCAGGAGAGAAGAAGATACTGTAAATATCTCTATAGGAGAGAACACTTTTTAATCTTGGCACAGTTATCCATATCTATATGTTGCAGGATATGTTTGGTTATCCATATGTGTGGATAGAGATATTATATAAAATCTGTTTCTAATCTCAGACACGAAAAGAGCATGTTGTTCCACTCCACTCCTGTCAAACCGGAAAACTTGGAGGATCTTTGGGAAAACCTGAGTCTAAAGCCTGCAAATACCCCTCAAGTAAACATCTCGGATAGTTTGTCCCGTCGAGGTGAGCCAAATAATGTCACAGTCGTTTGTCTGTGGGAGGAGGAAGGTAAATCTGTAGGACTGGAAAGACTTATGCCTGTCAGATTGGAGAGGGAGACAAACTGACTCTCATAGTACTTGGTTTTGAACAGCATGTCGTGAAAAGGCAGTAGTCAACTGTCAGCTAGAACTCCTCCCTGGCTTTTGAACTATCTGCACATCCAGCACTCCTTCAGTACTGTGTGAAACCATTCTTGACAACTCATGTCTGTCTCTTTTGGATTAAACTATGATCTAATGTGTTTTTTTCCCCTTGGTTGAAAATGCTAATGCACCCTAGAAATTGTGCTTTCATCATGGGGAACCATCCTAGGCAGCTGTGATAAGGACAGTGTCACTATTAACCTTTTTTTTTATATATATCTTATCCAGAACAACGATTGTTTGCAAATTAGAGCACAAAGACTGTAAGGCCCTTCAAAGTCACCCAAAAAGCAGTTCCCCCACACCTGTAGTTAAGTATAACAAACGGGTGATTCTTGCCTTTTGTGGTGATAAAAGGCACTTCAAGATGATAAGGGCCACGTGCTTTGCCACAGTAAATCTCTGTGTTAGTAACATTAATCTGGTAGGTTAGGCCTGATGGGAGGAAAGGGAGTTGTCCTTTTCTCCTAATCCGTTTTTGCACTTGCTGAGTCTCCACGTGCTTTGTGTATCCGCCCTTCCCAGTCATTAATGAAGTGTGGCAGGAGCAAACAATCGCTCGGCTGCTGCAGCTGGTCGACCTTCCCCTCCTGGAGTCTCTGCTGGAGCACCAAGAGATCAGACCTCAGCTCCCCCAGCCAAGGAAGGGAGCTGGGTATGTCATCACCAGCAACTACCTGGACAGAGAGATTCTCAAGGCTTTCAGTGACTCGCAGTAAGTGTTCACTGCTCTCCTCTGCAGCTTGGAAAACACTTTTTGCTTTCGTGGCAGTGTGAGGCACAGCTGATCTTTGGGTAGAAATGTAGTAGTCTCAGTCCTGCGGGTAGGACTGAGCAGGCACTTTGCTCCCTGTTGGGCTTGACTGGAATAACTGGTAAATAACAATTGCTTAGCTCTAAGCCAGAGTGGTGAGATAATTGCTGCTCAACACTGGAATGGTTTTTGAATGCCATGATGGTATTCAGAGGGGAAATTCTTTGCTGCATTGAGGGAAGAACAGAGCTTTTTACTACTGACCTGAAAGTTTTCCCTTAGAACATTTTTGAGGGAGTAGTTTAGTTCCTCCTACTGTATTAAAAGAGCCAAGAATGCTGAGCTTGAGACTGTGCCTAGAGTTAAAAACATTGTCTGAACAACTTCTACCAGTCTGAATCAGATCAGGGTTCATGTTTCTGTTTATCCAGCAGTAATTATGTCCTTATCTCACAGCAGAGGACATCACTGACTTTAGGTTTAACTGCTTGTGACTGTTTACCTGTGTGGGTTACTAATTCCTCATCTTGATTAAATACATAACAAGGAGGTATATGACTGTGATCCACCTGAGTGTGTCAGGTGAAGTGTCTTGTGTGTGTGTGTGTGAGAATTTCTAATGTATTTAAGTACTTACACATGCAGTTTTCCCTGGGATTGACAAACCAGTCTGCCTGCTTTCTGTGCAAAGCAAAGCAACCAGCTCTGGAAGGCGCCTGTGGGCAGTGCCACAGACCTGAACCCCCCCTGTCTTCCAGGACAGACGAATGGCTCTCGGCAGCAATAGATTGCTTGGAATACCTTCCGGATCATATGGTGGTAGATATCAGCAGGAACTTGCCTGATCAGCCAGATCAGGCAGACACGTGGAAGCTGCTGCTGTTTGACAATATTGGTAGATACTACAGCCAAAAAAAGGAGCCGCTGTTGAGCCACGCACCTGAAATCCATCTAGGAATTGCAGAACTATTAGGTAAGTAAAATAAAGCTGTATAGATGTTTTGTACCCCATTCACAACTTTTCCCCCCCTTTTTTTTTTTTTACACAGAAATGCTACTTAAATTTTGCTTAGACAACATTTTAGAAAGCCTTTGATGTTTTAGTCATCAATTAACATCTCATCCCTGTTCTCTCCCTGTTCATTTTTCACACTGCTTCTTCTTCCATGGGATTAGTTTGTCCTGTTGCATTTATAGCCCATTCCTCCTCCCTACATGATAAAAGGAGAATATTAGTACAACCTACTTCATTTTAATAATTCACACATCTAAAATGGCTATTCTGCATAGTAAGGCAAATTAAAACTTACCCCAGCTCCACAGAGTGGTTTGAAGTTAATTCCTCAAACTAGCCCATGTATCAAGAACATATTTCTCATTTTTTGGGAGATCTTTGTTTCCACAACAAGAGGCCATTCATTTCTTTAACAGAACCATTTTCTCTTTGCAATTATTTCATGTCCCATTCAAGATGGCTGAACTGTAATTGAACTTAATTGCAAGTGAGCCTACTTAAATACCAGTCTGCAAGTCTGTATGTGGGATGTTCTCAGACTGCCTGCAAGCAGCTCTCATCAACCTGTGAGAAGTTTTTGTGAGAATTAATGGCTTAGTTTGACCAGTTCTGTGTAGAGAGATGAAGGGTCTCTTCAGTGGCTAATTTAGGTGTTTCATTGCAACGTTTGTTTAAATCGATATGGCAATAGGGTACCCTTGTCTCTCCCCAGTGAATGGGAAGATGGAGCAATCTTTAGAAGCTCTTCAGCTGTATTTGAAACTTCTGGACAGCCAAGTCAGGGAGGAGTTCAGGAGACTGTTGTACTTCATGGCTGTTGCAGCACACAGTTCTGAGCTCAAACTGCAGAAGGAGGTAAGTGTGTGCTTAACAGATGCTTTACACTTACTGAAATCTAGAGGTCACAGGCACCGGTAGGAAAACGTGTTTGTAGCTTAAATATGTGGCTACAGGAAGAGCAGTGACTCTGGAAGAACAACGAGGAAGGGGGAGACTAATTCTCCTCTTTTCGTCCTTAATTCACTTTGTCCTTCAGAGTGACAACAGGATGGTCGTGAAAAGAACATTCTCCAAAGCTATTATCAACAATAAAAACTTATCCAGAGGGAAAACTGACCTCCTGATCTTGTTCCTGGTGGACAACCAAAGAGATGTGTTAAAGGTAAGAGCTAGGAAATGACCAGGCTTTGGCTAATCTTATATACCTGTGCAGAATTGCCTTTCCAAACTTATGGTGCACTGTCTTCTCTTTCCCTTCAAGATCCCAGGGACACTGCATAAGATGGTCAGCAACAAACTGCTGGCTCTGCAGAAAGGCCAGGATCCCAGTAAGATAACAGGTAACAGTCCGAACAGAGCTCTTCAATCTTGTCACGCCCCCAAATGAGAAATCGGTGCTGCAAAAAGTACCTGCTGTGACACTGACTGATTTGACTCTGGAGGAGGGTGGGTCTGTGGAATCTCGAGGGTGGCTGAGTGTGGTGTTAACTCTCTGAATGTCTCCTGCTTCCTTTTAGGCTACACCTTTTGCCAAAAGCTCGATGAAAGAGAGTATCGCTCCAATACGGAGAAGACCACAAAAGATGAGCTGTTGTCCCTGTTGAAAGCGATTGATGAAGACTCAAAGCTCTCTGACAAAGAGAGAAAGAGACTGCTAGATCAGTTTCATAGCAGCAATCCAAGTATTTTTATGCAGTATTTTGGAGATAGAGTTACTAATATGTGTGTGTGAGGCTTTAAATATAGATTACTTTGTATACTCCAGCATTGAAAACACTAATATATTTGTAAATTTTTGTATTCATGTATTCTGCCTAATAAAATTATTTTGTGGAAATAGATGGAATTTATTCAGTTATTACCAAAGCCAACAGTACAAAAGTGGCCTTTGTTTATAGTTTAGCTTTGCTCATTCTTAATTGCTATAGGACCATATAATAATCCATATAGGACCAAAATAATCCATCCTTTTCCTCACCTAAAGCCAAGTCTATTGACTCCCTTTATTCAAATATCAAAATTCCTGAGATGGAAGACACCGTGAATGAAATGTCTCTGTCACCTTTTACCCCAGCACTGAATCTTATGCTGAACATTATTTTTTTTTCTAATTTGCCTTGCATTATGTGACTGACACGTGTAGCATTGATCTTTGAGTTTCTATGTAATGGCCAGAGCTGAATAACATCTCCTGCTTGATGTTCCACAGCTTTCCTTCCAGCTTCCCAGCTAACTGCGCTGTGCACGTGCATGACAACTTACTGTGCTGTTCTAAGCTCAAATGGCACCATACTGAGGAACTCACTCTCCTGGGATGGTAAAAGATATTCTGGAGGTTTTAAATCAGTCTGGCTTTGGTTGCCACAGGATGGACTGTTTATGGCTGGTTATCTTCATCCCTGCAGTGTTTTGCTCTGACTGTAACTCTTATTGATGGCACCAGCTGTAATTAGAAAAGAGCTGGAGCGGAGGAAGGGCCTTTGGCTTGTCTTGTGGCTGTATATTTTATCTGTGTCTGGTCTACGGTGGAAATCCCAAGCTTTGCAGCACAGGAAAGTGCAGGCAGATACAGAGCACGATTAGAGATCTAATTTTGGCTTTGTGGGGTTATCTTTGGGATGGTATCAGCCAAACTTTGTTACGGCTGCTGTTGAAAGAAATAACAAATTTTGTTCTATTTGGGAACAAAAGCTGGTTTAATTATGACATCAAGGTAGTAATAACTGTTACAAACACACAGTGATCTGATTTTTAAAGACACAGCCCTATGTGAGATGCTGTAATGTGTCTGCCTAAGTAACTCTTCAGTCATTAGTGGTGTCTGGTGCCAGTGGCCCAAGTGCTTTCTGTGAAACAGAGCTGAGGGCTTGGTGTGCAATAGGACAATGTGTTCTGTTGTCCTGATGGGGGATGGATGACAAACGTGGGAAAAGCTTATTCTAGTCAGTTAGAAAGGACTTCTAAAAATTATCCAGTTCTAGTAGTGTGTGTGTGGGGAAGTATAACCCTTTTTAGTAGTTATATTTTGTAGTTCTTAGTCTTAACTGAAAGCTTTTTATTATAAATGTACTTCCTCAGAAAAGTTGGCTTAACTCTCACTTTAAAATGTGGGGGTGGAAAGGCAGTTCCTTGTTCTTAGGAAAAATATGTTAAAATAAGTTACTTATGGTGCTGCATTGGTTCCCTCTTCTGCGGAAGTATATTCCCTTTCTAACTCCTGCCTGATTTAACACCATGGGTAAGAGGATGAGATTTCTATCTTGAAAATGAGTTCCTGCCTGTGGGCATTGCCTGCTGCAGTGAGAGTTCTGAATTACAGATCCTGCCCTGTGAGTCACTGGGCTGGCTCTGCTGCCAAGTTTGCTCTCAGGGTACGGAAAAGCAGCCTGCAGGGAGGAACGGGGTGGGAATGTTCACCGGTGGGCACAAGGCAGGGTCCGCAGGGCCACCCCTCTCCTCTATAAGTAGCTAAGATTTCACTTGGGAGGATGAGGTGTCTTAAGGATGACAGCAAGGACAAGGCACGGCTGCTTTCCCTGCTTGCTGGGGTGGGTTTAATCTGACTCGGTCCAGTGTGGTTGAAGCAGTCGCACATCTCTCTATCCCTCTGTGTTAGAGCAGAAGGGCTGTGAGGAGCGGCTCAGGGAGCTGGGCTTGTTGAGCCTGGAGAGAGGAGGCTCAGGGGACACCTCATCACTCTCCACTCCCTGACACGAGGGTGTAGCCAGGTGGGCATCAGTCTCTTCTTCCAGGCGACCAGCAGCAGGACAAGAGGGCAGGGTCTTAAGCTCCGCCAGGGGAGGTTTAGATCAGACATTGGGAAGAAATTCTTTACAGAGAGAGTGACTGGGCATTGCAGTGGGCTGCCCAGGGAGGTGGTGGAGTCACCGTCCCTGGAGGTATTTAAGAGACTGGTTGCGGCACTGAGTGCCACGGTCAAGGTGGTGTTAGGTCAAAGTTTGCACTCGACGACCTCAGGCGTCTTTTCCAAATTCTTTCCAAGGGGTCTTTCGCTGATTCTGTGGAGCCCCGGCGCAGGTTATTGGGGCGCAGCCCTTGCTCTGTTTGGGGCCGGGACCTCGCTGGTCCCCAAAGCCGCCGGGAGCCCTGAGGGCAGTCGGCGCTCCCTCAGCGCGGAGCCGAGCGGCTCCTCGCCCCTTCCCTGAGGGAAAACCCCCCGTTCCCGGCGCCGGGGCCCCTCGCCCCGCCCCGGAGCCGCCGCGGCCCGCCCTGCGCTGGGGCTGCGGCGCCGGCCCAGCCCCGCTCCGCGGCCGCCGGGAGGGAGCCGGGCCCGTCAGCGCCGGCGGCCGCGGCCCCTGCTCCGAGCGGCGGTAAGAGGGGGCGGCCCGGCCCGGGGGGCTGCCCTGGGGGCTCGGGGGCGGTGGGAGAGCGGCGGGCAATGCCCGAGCCTGAGCCCGGCACCGGCGAGGGGGCGCCGCGGCGGCTCCGGGCCCGGCCGGGCAGGGCTGCGCCGGGGCCGCGGGGTGAGCTCGGCTGTGTGAGCTCGGCACCGCATCCCCGTGCTCACTGCGCATCCCACAGCCCGCCCCGGGCTCGTTTCCCCCCCGTGGCCCATTGCTGAGGCTCGGCAGCGGCGCCGGGAGGAGCCGTGCCCGGCCCGGGGCCGCCGGCGGGCGGGGTGCGGTGGGGACGGCCCCCCGTGCGCTCCCGCGGGGAGGGACCGGGGAGGGCCTCGCACGGAGCGGGCTGCGGGGGGAAAACTGCGGGATTTCACCAGAAAACCCTGGTCATCTGGAAGGGGGACGGGGGAAAAGGAGGCTGCGATGCGGCAGGTGAACAGAGGGAAGGGCGGGGAGAGGGCTCAGCGCTGGAATGAAGCCTGGAGCCGGGCAGCCCTCAGGGTTAGGAGCAGTGGGGCAGCGCTGGAGGTGAGGAGGAGCTGCTTCGACCTCGATTAAGGTGTGCTCCATGGATGCACAGCGAAATTTGTTCAGTGCTGGTGCGCATCAGATGGCTTGAGGACCTTCGGTGAAAAGAGCCAGTGTAAAAAATAATTTTGTTTAAATTTTGATCTGTTGGGTTTTTCCTCCTGCGTTTCTGTTTTTATTAAAAATAAATGAAAGTGCCAAGAAGGAGACTTTGCTCCATTGAGAGGCAGAATTGTTTCTGTGAAAGGAAAGATGATGATTGTGCTTCTGGAAGAGGTATTGTCGAGCTTATTTACCCAGTGGAAAGAGGATATGTTCTAGACGTGTTCTGGCAAATAATAGCAGTAATCCAGCAGAAAAGAGTAGACTATTGCAAACTAAACAACTAAACCAGCAAGTGTGCCCGTTTAACTCATCTGCTGAGCAGTCATTTGGTAGAATGGCCCAGGAGTTCTTGTACCCGCCTTCCACAGCTGAAATAGGACTTTCTTTAGACAAGTGGTAATTAAATGAAACTTTTGGGTTTGAGGACGTAGCTCTCGAGCTGCCGTTTTATGGGATGTAGTCTGCGTGGTAGGAGTGATGACCTGGTGGGCAAAGCTGGGGGTAGCAGTCACGAGACTGATTGTCATGTTGTCCCTGTCATTTATCTTCTGTGAGTCCTCAGGCAACTCAACTCACACCTCGGTTTCCCCTCTGTAAGTAAGGTATATCATAATATTTCCTTGCTTTTTCAGCATAGTGAGCTTAAAGTGCAGTGAGAGATTGAGAGGCACTAGGAAGGTTTGTCCCCTGCTTTTTGTGCTGTTTGCCTTTCTAAAATAGGAATCTCACAGCGCTGTGGGCAAGCGTTGCGTGCTGTTGTCTCTCACGGCATCGAGCAAGATGATGATCCTGAGTCATTGCTGGGGAACAAAACTGTTTCTTACATGCACTGAGCTTTCCAGCTGTCCTGTAGAATCCCACTGGTGCAGTCAATTAAGCACTGATGGAGCAGGGTTGGTTATTACAGCTCTTGGGTGAACATAAAACAGTTTCTGGGTTGCATTTTATATTTCTGCACTGTTGCTTGCTTCTGCTGCATCCTCTTTGATGCTGCAAGTATTTCCTCCGAATAGCTGTGAGGTGCCTCTGGAGGGTGAATCTCTTGCTCAGAGCTTGTTCCTTCCAAATTTTGGAAGTGGGGCTGGTGGGAGACCAGGGGGGAAAGAGGAAGTTTTTCCAGGAGCTTCCTTTTATTTTGAAAGGCAGACTCGGTTTCTGACTCCCCCTTCACAGAACATCCAGGCTATTTAATTGAGTTAGAGACATCATATGCTCTCTAACAGATTTCTGTATAACTGGAGTCCTAACAGCAGCTTCCTGCATGACAGTGTTCGTGGTGGATGTACAAACTGCATTCTTCAGAGAGAAATCTGAGGGTGAAATAAGTGCAGATAATGAATGGTGAGACTTGCTTTTCTTAGGGTAATTTTTTTCTTAATAACTTGGGGTACACTACATGTATCTGTGATTTAATATAAATATCTTGGTAATATAATAAAAAATTAATGTAATATGGTGTCTAATAAACTAATATTTTAAATACTGTAACTATTCTTTACTGTCTTAATTTTAAACCCCCTGAATTTTATGCATAAATCACAACTCTTGCATGGAACGAAAATACGGGAGTAGAATTTTATATTGATTTCTCTCTGGTCCTTTTCCTGCTTCTTAATGCTTTTGGATGGCTCAGAGTGAAAGCTTTTAAGTTCTGAGAAGTTGAGGTAGATCGTGGTTTGGGAGTGTGTTATGTTCAGGAAGATTTATTGCTGTGTAAAACATCTTTGTAGTACTGTTCTGAAGGTGTTTTTCACTGCTCTCTCAGAAGCAACGCTGAGAAAGAGAACTAAATATCTTTTTCTCTCTCATCTGTATCACTATGGCAAGGGAGCAGTGTCACATTTTTGAGAACTTAGTAGGAATGCAGATTAATAAATGGCAGCTGTGTTGAAAGCATCCCATTTTGTGGGAAATGGGAAGTGAGTCACTGAGTCCAGGTCTCCTACCATTATAGGGATGACATCATATAATCCCTCAGAAGAATTCTTTCATTCTTAATTTTTTTCTTAATCAAGAGAACTCCTGGTGATGTTTTCATTCCCTTTTCCATATTTTTTTCTTTTTTTTTTGTAGAGAACCAGCTGAAAATGTCTCAGAATCCTGACAAGCTCCACTCAAGTGAAGAAAAGCTGAGCGGTTCGGAGGATGCTCAGGAGGAGAACTCGGACAACCCGGATCAGTCTGTCCGGAAAAGGATACGGCAGAGCCCTCCAGGGTCACACAGAGATGACACCCCCAAGTGTAAGCAAAACTGCTGCATGGAAAGTAATGAAAACAGAACGTTCTCTAGTTTTTGGTGGAGGCAATCCTGATGTTCTACACCACTCTGTGCCAGTTTGAGTGTCTTGCAGTGGAATGTGGTGTGACTCCTGATGCTGTAACACCTTTCTCCCCACTTTCCTTTAGTACCTCATTGTTCATGCTGACCGTGCTGCTCTGATCCACAGATATCTTAAACACCCTGGTGTGTTTGTGCTCATGGAAGGGGTAGGGCACCATCCTGGGGTGTTCCAGCTACTGCTGCTGCTGTTTGCCTTATCAGCTGAACCTTCTGGATTGTTGCAGCCTCTCTGTTTCCACTGCAGGGCAAGGAAGGCTGCTATCAACAAAGGAATGTCCTGTCATCCCCCTCACAATGTAGATGGAAATTTGTATATTTCATCCTAATGCTGTATATTTTAAGCTTATTCCTAAGGCGTATTTTTCCTTGTCGTTCTGCTTTTAACACGAGGAGCTGGATGCAATGTGGCTACCAAATATTCCTGGCAAATCTGTAGATGAAACCAAGGGGAAGTTTTCTGGCTCCAGGGATTCAACCCAAAGAGGCAAAAGCACTCAGACAACCAGCTCTAAATTTCTGTGGAGAGTGTCTCTGTAACACTTTGCTTGCTGTATTCTTTTTATTTTTTAATGGAGTTGATTATCACTTGAGGTTTAGTGCTGTGTTTAGTGCCATGTCACACAGAGGAGGTGTTCTGGGGAGTTTATTTCTTATGCCTGATGGGAAATGGGATGTACGTGTGGAGAGGGGCTCTGGACACGTGAAAGTGAAAAGCACAGCACGGTCTTGCACTGCACTGTACCACAAAGAAGTGGTTGGTTTCAAGCCCTTCCCTTGTTTAAAGGGAGCAGATCATGTGATTTAAGAGTGTTCCGTGGTAAATGAGAGTCTTGGCTTTTAGTGCACCCACTGCTGGAGTGAAGTCATTTGGCAGTGGGACAAGAGCACTCTCATTCAGCTGTGAGCGCTGCTGTCTGCTGGTTCTTCTCAGAATATCAATCCTTGCTGTGTTCCCGGAGTCACTCTGCAACATTAAGCTCCAGGCAGAAGGAAAAGAGGATTTAGGAGGGCTGCAGGAGAAGAGCAAGGCGTTAGTGAAGAATCAGCACATTGGAACCACACTGCATGTGCTCAGAAGAGCTCCGAGTGCCAGACAAGTGATGGACAGTTACTTATAAAAGACCTTTTCTTTGTAATTGCCTAAGTCAAATCAGCATGGGTTATCAAATGAGACCGTCATAATAGTTTGCCTAAAACATATCTCAGTGAACCCAGCCTATGAAGATCCCTGGTTCAGTTCTTTCATTTTGGGATTAGTGTGTTGCTCCTGGCTCACACACACACACACAGTGTGCACTGACACTGCACAGCAGGGAGGACCCTTCACCACAAAGAATCAGTGCTTTCAGGGGGCTTCAGTGAGGTGGGATCACTCCCCTAACCAGCAGGACCTGCACCCTTGGCACCTGCTCTGCCTTTCTGGTGTTTTGTCGTGTTTGGTGCTTCCTCCTACTCACTTATGTGCCCCAGGGCCCAGTTTGAAGCTGCTGGTCCATCCTGGTCAGTCCCAAATGCCTGCCAGGGAAAGAGATCTTAGGCATTTGAGCTGGGATTAAGTCTTGACATCCTTTGTTGCTTGGATGGTGGCCTCTGGGGGAAAAGAGGAGCTTGGAGGAGTGCCAGTCACGCTGGAAGTAATGAGGATAATTAGCTACTGGAGTGTTACTGCTTAACACTTTTGTGATTTGTTTGCTGACTGCTTTAAAGATGAAGTAATTTCCTTGAAAAATGTAAAATTGAAATGGCAGCATCTGCACAAAACATGTGGAAATAGTGTGGTGGAAATGCTGGTAATTTTAATTATTTCTTCCCACAGTATGGAGAAAGATGGTAAGATGCTATTAATCCATCCTAAAGAAGTACTGGTTTGGATGTGGGGTTTTGTTTGGGTTTGGTTCTTAAAACAGCTTGATAGAACTTGGAAACAGGTTCTGAGCCCTGAATATCAACTGGGACTCACTTTGCTTCCTGTAATGCTCCAAACCTGTGTCATCCACCAGATGGGAAAGGAAGGGAAGGCAAAGAATCTTCAGATGACACTGTCATTTCGCCCTCTGTACTGCCAGTGAGGTGGAAAGGGTCCAAAAGCCTTAGCAGACTTTATTTTCTGCAGGTTTTGTAGAGAAGTGTCTGACAGTGTAACAATTCACATTGCAGCCAGCCCTCCTCGGCCTGTGTCCATAGAGGAGCTCATGGAAACAGCCAAGGGAGTCACCAACATGGCATTAGCACACGAGATCGTGGTCAATGGAGACTTCCAGATAAAACCAGCCGAGTTACCAGAACACAGGTGAGATTGTTACCTAATACATCCATGGAAATGTGTCTCTATATATCTCTGCAGATAAAGTTTGCCTTTGTAGAACTGCAGGGCAGCTCTGGGGGATCAGGTGGAGGCTCTGGCTTGGTATCTCGTCTGGCAGTGCCTGGTAGAGATGTGTGTGAGCATGAGAGGGGAGCCTCTTGGAGTAATTGTTTGGGCATCTGTGGGACAAATCCCAGGGTGCTGTGGTTCCTTGTCCCAGGAGTCTGAGGCTGCAGCCTCCCACACAGCCCAGTTTGACTGCAGCATTTGGAAGTAGGAATTGGTACTGAAGCAGTGGAATTTGTCTGTTGTTTTTTTTTTTTACACAAACTGCTCTGGGCCCTTATCTCACAGTAGCTGCAATATTTATGCCCTGAGACACAGAAGCTTTTGTGTCAGGGAAGTTGCTTCATTTCTGTTAGGTTTACTAATGAATTTTACCTGGTAGAATTGCCTTTACTTAGTGAGGCCTTTAAAAGGAACATGAATGCTGGTCTTTGGAAGACAAACTATAATTTTTGTGATTAATTTTTTTATTTCCAGTTGTCTAGTTTAGGTGTAGCATAGGATAAACTTTCAAGTACTTTAATTTGTAGCCATCTTTGCTTGTGTGTGACCCTTTATTAGGACATAAACCATTCCAAATCCTGTGTCCAGTTTTTCCTGCTTTTCCAAGTAACATAAAATGACAGATCTCTTCCCTGTTAATCATCATATATTCATTATTACATTATATACATACTATTACGTGCTCTTCCTCAGGAGCTGCAGGTTATCTTTGTAAGGTGGTGCAGAGACAAGTGTCATCCTTTTTAACTGGTCATGTTTACCCCCAGCTTGGAGAAGAAAGTAAGAGATATTGTGCATAAAGCTTTCTGGGATTGTCTGGAAGCTCAGTTGAAGGAAGATCCACCAACATATGATCATGCAATTAAACTGCTGGGAGAAATTAAAGAGGTAAGATGGTGTGATACCAAAGGGAATTATTGAATTTGAGTAGTGCATTGATATGAATGAGCAAAAGTGGTTGAAGCTTGGCTTTCCATAAAAGACTCCTGTGCTCTTTTTCATTACTGTACCATTCTCTGTGAACGTAAATAAGTTGTATAACCCCAGAGGAGAAATTTGAATTTAAAGCCAAATGCAAACCCATGCAAGATAATTAAAAGGTAAGTAATACCAGTTTCATAATTCCAAGCTTCCTTCGTGTTATGGCAGTGATGATTAGTTATGGAATCAATGGGATGCCCCGACACTGGGCTGATAAAACTGAGCACAGTAGTCTGAAGTATGATCTGTGCCACAGAGTATTTACCATTTAGTAACTTCAGTATCCCACAGAACAAGGTGAAACATCTGGAGTTGGTGAGTGGTTGGTTAAAAAAAAAATAAATAAGAAAATTGTACTTTTAAAGGGCATTTTATTTAAATAAGAATATGCCCCATCCCTTGAAGTGTCCAAGGCCAGGTTGGATGGGGCATTGAGCAACCTGGTCTAGTGAGAGGTGTCCCTGCTTGGAACCAAATGATCTTTAGGGTCCCTTCCCTACCCAAACCACTGTGTGATTCTCTGATTCTGTAAGAAGTGGTTTGGATCCTTGTGCTCTTTGATATGTAGAACTAATGCACTGTTAAAAACCTTCCATTTCAGAATCTCCTGTCTTTCTTGTTGCCTGGTCATACTAGACTGAGAAACCAGATTACAGAAGTCCTTGATCTGGATTTGATAAAACAGGAGGCAGAAAACGGGGCCCTCGACATTTCCAAGTTGGTCAAGTTTGTTATTGGGATGATGGGGACTCTCTGTGCTCCAGCCCGAGATGAAGAAATTAAGAAACTGAATGACATTCATGAAATAGTTCCTCTGTTCAGGTACTGAAATGGTGTTTATTAGTCATGCTCAGAGTCCCTTTAATAGTTTTAGATGTGTGTGTGGGGGTGTGTGTTCCAGCAGGGCAGCTCCTTGATAAAAAAGAGTGTTAGGGAAAGGGAAACAGCTGTGGGTGTGAAGGGGAGAGATGCTCCAGGAGTCATTAACAGGGACCACCTCTGTTCTGGTGAGTTGGGGTGTTTGTCTGGCCCCTGCATGTCAGTGAGGGACACTTTCTTAAATGCCAAATGCATCCAAGCCTTAAGACAGCAGGGGAATAGTCAGTTTGTAACAAAAATTAACATCAACAGCAAAAGGAGAAAAAAGAGCCCACAGGAGCATAGGAAAGAAGTACTACTGGTTTCCAACCAGTTTGTCCTTTCCTCCCAGTTTGAGCTCTCTTTGCCCCGCTCCCTGTATGAAGTCCTGTCGGTTCTGAAGGGAGTGTGTTGTACCCACAGCTGGGAGCTTCTGCTTTGTCACCCTGTTCTCAGCTCAAGCTCTCAATAAGTAGAAGTTTCACCAGCCTTGCTGTTTTCTAATTTGCAAAGCTTCCAAGAGTTCAGGATTGACTTGGCAGAATTATGGCCAGCAGGAATTAGGTTGCTTTGAAATTAAGGTGTTCTTTGGTGGTTTGTTTTTTTCTTTTGTGTTTGTTTTTCTTTTCTTTTTTTTCCCTTGAGTCTGATTATTCACTTCCCACTGAGGTTGGCTTTCTAGGCTGCCAACAGAGAGAGCATGCAAGCTTGGAAACCCAGATGGCTTTTTATGTATTCAAGATACAACATTGCACATCCTGGGAGATACAATCTATGGAGCTAGTGAAGTTAATTCCCATGGAGGCTTTTTTACAGGAGAGCAAGAGTTCTTTCCTCCTTGGAAGAGGCACATGCCTGCATGTACATGCTTGCTCAAGCTTTCTCCCTGTCTCACGCTTTTAAATGGTTAAGCACCCTGGTACTGTTTCCCATGCATGTTTTTTGCTCTTTCCTTAGACAGTCTGTAATAAATCGTGTAAACAGCACCTCTGAAACATCTGCAGCCTTGAATAACTTTTTCTGTTTGTTTGTTTAGAGCCATTTTCTCTGTATTAGACCTAATGAAAATGGATATGGCAAACTTCGCTGTCAGTAGTATTAGGCCAAAATTAATGCAGCAGTCTGCTGAATATGAAAGAAAGAAGTTTCAGGAGTTTCTTGAGAAACAGCCAAGTATGACTTTGTTCCTTTCTTTCTTCCCCTGTGACCTCCTAGTAAACTGCGTGTCTTTGCTTGTAGAACATGAAAAAAACCCCAGATATTTTTATAAGTTCATATGATAAATGACAGCTTGTGCCCCAAAACTGTGGTTAGAAAAAAAATCTGCCAGAACAATAGTTCTGCACTTAGTGCTCTGGAATCCAGTTTAATTTCAATACAGTGTAGGGCATGATTACCCAGCATCATCTCACCTCTGATTTCCTGTAGCTGTGTGGTTTTGTTTTAGATGTTCTGCTTGATGCAATAAATGAAATGCATGTCATCAACTGGTACTGTGGGTGTTGGTCATAGTAACTAATGGGATAGTTTGGAAATTATTGGTGGTAAAAAACCCAACTTGGAGAGGGAGTTTTCCTGACGAGATTTTTTTTTCCCTTGCTCCTGCAGATTCTTTAGACCTCGTCACAAAGTGGTTGCAAGAGGCAGCGGATGATCTTGCAAAGCTGGGACGTGAAACGTTGCCTCCCCGCTCTAACGACGGTGCTACCGGTGGAGCCTCCACCCTGTGCTTCACTGCTGTACAAAATCAGGCCTATTTGAAGCTCCTGAAGTGGGATCATGTGAACAGGCCTTTTCCAGAAGTAGGTATTTAACAAAAAAAAAAAAAAGGGTGCTGTGCTTGTGTCATTGTCTTACCTTTCCTGTTGCATCCCGGTGTCCCTTCCCAGCCCAGCAAACTGACCCCGTCCCGTGCTGGTTCCTCCCTCCTTGCAGACACTGCTCATGGACCAGACCCGCTTCCTGGAAATACAGCTGGAGCTGGAGCAGCTCCTCCTGGTTGGGACAGTGCTCCTGGTCACCTTCAGTGCAGCAGGCCCAGCGCTCGTCGACGTGCCTGGATTTGCCGAGAAAATCAAAACCATTGTCAAGGTGCTGCTGACGGGAACGCATCTTCCGTGAGTATGGAACGGTCCTGCTCACTCAGGGGCAGGTGTAGCTCTGTTCTCACCCTGGTAAATAACCAGTGTAAGGCTCTCTGTCTCCTCCTGGACTGCAGGATAGGCAGGGAAGGTGCTGAGGGCTTTCCAAGAACCCAGGCTGACGATTTTTCTTCAGCTCACTCACTCGGAGGGCTGTCTTTTCTTGCTCTGTTCTTTCATGAAACGCACACACTGCTTTTCCAGTGTGCTTTTATGATGCCAGGCTGGCACATGAGGGGGCCAGCAGCTAACCCTGCTCATGGTTTGGGCCAGGCTCCCCCAAGAACCTGAGTGTGGCACAGCAAACTGCTTACAGATGCAGAGTGATTGCTATTACACGTAAGGGTTGCTAACTGGTTGGGTGTTAGTCAGAGCTGTCTGCACGCAGAAAGTCAGCTCTCATGTGTATGGATTGGTCAGGCTGGAAGTCTTTAATGTTCTCCTACTTCCTTGGTTTAGAGCTCAGCTTTATTTTTCATATATCTCTAAAAGGTACTATTCTTTATAATTCTGGCTTTATCTGCATTATGCTTTTTCCGTTGCATTTGATCAGTGAGGCAACTGGAATTGAATGGTTTGTCTTTACAAGGTGAGACAGAAGTAAATACCTGGTTCAGTAACGCTCTGCTCCACATTCTGTAGCTCCTTTAACCTGAAGGAATCTCTGGCCACCATCGGGGAGAAGGTGTGTGCTGAAGTGAACAGCTGCCTTTCCCAGCACGGCTTCACCCCCTTCTCAGCAGAGAGAGAGACTGTGCTCAAAGGGCAGATCCAAGCAGTGGCCAATCCAGATAACACCATCTGCAGGCTCATAGGTACGTCTGGCACCGCTGCTCTGCTCTCCTGTGAGCGTCCTCTGGGTGACTGGTGGGGCTGTGTCGTGCTGGGCTTCCCATTTCACGTCTCGGATACTCGACTGTGTTCGGGCTCACACCATTCTGAAAACAAACCCAACCCCATTTTTTTTTGACAGATTCTCGAATTCAAAAGTTCCTGGAGAATCATCTTGCCTCCAGTCACCAGAAAACACTGCCTGCCATCCCTGGAGGGTTAGGCCCTATCCAGAGGGAGCTGGAAGAGGTTGCTGCCAAGTACGTTCGTCTCGTCAACTACAACAGGATGGTCTTCAGCCCTTACTATGATGCAGTCCTTGGCAAAATACTGACTAAGGGAGAATCCCAACTTGTAGGGAAGCCAGAAGAGTCCTAAACCCAGTTTGTGTGCTACCAATAACGGTATTGTCAGCTATTAAATAAAAATTGTACCAATATTTGTCTAGGAAAAACAGCTTTCCGTGTAAATACCGGTTCCTTCTAATTCACGAGTGATGGCTGGTGAGGGAAATACTCGAGGTGCAGAAAGGGGTTCTGAAGCCAATGATGAGAGATGCATTTTTAATGTAAGGGTGCAAGCTAGGGGGGAATGTTGTGGTAGTTTTCTGGCTGTAATTTTTTTACATTTTGGAGTTGATTCTAGGCAGGGCAAGTTGAAGAACAGAACTTGGTATTTAAGTGGCTCATTTTAGGGCATTTAACTCTTTTAATTTACAGTGAATTCAGTTTAATTAATCCAGAGCAGTTTAGCAATGGTTCGTCCCAGAAGGGGTGATAACGGTTTTAAAAATATCTTACTTTAAGGAAGTAAGAAAGCTAAAATTCTAGGTAAGAGGAACTCTGACACAAAACCAACCCAAACAGCACTTTATTGTAACATTATGATCACTATGGTAGGCTACTAGTTTTTTCTGCATTTTACTGCATTTTTAATAGCGTTTTTTTGCTGTTTACCTGCAGATGTTACAAAACATAATATATTTTTGTAGTAAATTTTCTGGTTATTGGGTAACTGTCCTCTGCTATGTACAGTACTTAACAAAGGTGGCAATCTTATAGATTGCAGCTGTATTTATCTCTTGTAAAGACTTAAGAAGGGCAGAGCTAAAATGTTTTGATAAAAGTGGTATTTCTTACCTTGTTTTGCTAGTAGTTTCCTCCTTTTTATGTGAAATACTAATTTTAAAGTAAATCTGTGTCACTTTCAGAAGGTGGATTTAAAGCGTGTGAAACTTTAGGCTGGAAATTTTACTTGTTTTGGGGTTTTTTTGTTTTTTTTTTTAACTACAACAGGAGATGGTTGCACATTCAATCATGTCTTCAAAAATATCCAGGAAGTGCAGAGCACTAATGGGCAGTATAAGTGATTTTAATGTAGTGTGAGAGGGGATTGACTTAGTTTGAACATACAGGGAATACTTTCAGTAGATTTTTTTTTTTCCACTTTGTAGAGGTGTTCTTGGAACTTTAAGAATATTTCTAGGCCTTGAATTTAATTAGCTATTGAAGTGTTGTGTAGATGAGTGTTCTCAGAAGAGCTCAGTGGTCTTACAGCCTCACTGCAACTTCAGACCCAGCTGGCAGGTAAGTGCATCTGGAATTTCCCTCTGGTTGAGCACAACTGTGTTTTACAGTAATCAATATTTGATGGTTTTTAGGAAAGCAAAGTTCATAGCTATAATAAACAGTAAGTGCTCCAAGTACTAAGCTATCCGAGCCAGAATGTCTTGTCTTTGGAAAAAAAAAACCAAACAACAAGGTATGTAAAATAAATAAATAAAAGGGCCCTTTTATTGCCAACCACCAGGTTAATTTGTGAATCAGCTAGTCAAAGAAAGACAACTTCTAGAAGCACTTGATTATGAATCAGTGTTGATGCTTCCCTTTCCAGTTTTCCTTTAAATGTCAGTATGGGTAGAGCTGCACTGACTTTGGTTTTGGAGGAAGATGAGATAAATAAGACCTTTTTCCTATATTAGCCTATGCAACTCTAAACCAAATCTTTTCTCATGGATTACAAACCCCCTTCTCCCAGGGACAAAAACCACCACCAAACCCTGTAAGAATTTACCAGCTCAGACAAATTTTTCTCTCTTGGCTGAATGAACTCAGTTAAAATGAGTGTCTTTGAATCTTTGGTCATTCAGAAATCAGGAGGTTGGTTAGCCAGGAAAAAAAAGGCTCTGAGTAGGCTTTTGGTGTGGTGTGTGTCATTGTCTGGATCAGCAAAGGTGATCTGTCCACCAGTGCAAATCAAGTTAGTTAATGATTTTCCCAAATTGTTTTTTTTAATGAGACTGTCTGACGAACAGTTTCTCCACATCCTCACAGAAGCAGGGGATACAACTGAGTAGCAAAGCAAGGAAGGAATTCCAGGATTGCTAAGGCCAGGCCCTCCTCCACCTGGCCCTTTTTGGGGTTCATCCCTCCCCCTCCCCACAGGCAGCTGTGCTGCTGGAGATGGGAGCGTCTTTAACTTCCCCAAGTCCCTGTCCCGTAGTCCAAGGGGCTTCTTAAGATCCTATCAGAGTGCCACTCTGAACAGCCAGTAACAAGTTAAAAGCTCAAGTGCTCACAGAAACTGCTTTGAGAGCTCATATAGTGGTATTTTTTAGCTTGTTTGAAGATGACAAGTGAAACGATGTAGCTGATTATTTAACATTTAGCTTTGTACCTTACAGTGGAAGACGGGGCGGGTGTCCAGGAGCAGCCTGTGACAACCCACCTTTGAAACATATGCTGAGTTTAGTCTTAGGATGCTGTCTTCTTCAAGCACTCATGGAATCACAAGCAAAAGCGTACTGTATCCTCTAGAGAAATGGAAAACAAGCTAATTCTAATATGTATGCTCTGACCAATTTCCTGTGACGGTCTTATTAGCATTGCTTTTGAAGTGGCTGAGTAATATTTAAGAAGTACCTTGTTGTGTTTGAATAAAACCAGAATGAGGCATGAAGTTATGGATATCCTTTTATTTTAAAGGAATGTTTTTTTTGGTTTTTTTTCCCCGATTTTCAACTACAAAACAGATTTCTTACATTCTGCCATAAATAAAAACGGACAATAAGGCAGGACACTACATGAACAAACTGAGAACAACTGTTTTCCAGAAAAAATGTGAATTAAAAATGCTTCACAAGTATAAGCCATCCAGTTTTTAAAATAAAACTGTTAAAAACCCACGAGATTTCAAGTGGTAGATGTGAACACCCTCGAAGAACAAAATACAGCTTTGACATTTTGCACTTTTGGTTCTGAAAACCTAGTTTTGTTCAGAGCACATTCTAAGGTTGTTCGGGTTGTGTTTTCAGATCAAGAACCATACGGGAGAAGAGGCACCACAGTAACAAAACCATTTTCAAGGATTTTTTTGTTTGTCTGTTTGTTTGCAGCTGTCCCTTTTAAATGCTTGACTTTTTTTAAAGAGACTGATTCAATGCGAGTCTTTGTCTGTCACAGCAGAACTCCCAGACTTGTTTCACCGGATTCTCTTCTGCTGCCGCGCTCTGTAAATGTCATGGACGGGGGGAACTACAGATCCTTTCTCCTCGTCGTCATCGGAATCCTCGTGTGATCTCTTCACAGCCTTGTTGAGGATGGTGTTGTTCTCCACGGGCCCATTGCCCTCCACAGCTATTTCAGGCAGGCCCCCGGTGATGATCCGCACGGCTTCGTCGACAGCTTTGGGAGAGAGACACCGACTCATTGGATTTGGGAACCCTGAATTCCCTGATCAGACATCACTGATTCAGAAACGGGGGAGACTTCTGGGACATAAAGCATTTTTCCTGTCTGTTCTGCAAATATTAAGTCTTGACTGCCTGAAACTCTGAGCAATGGTGAACATTAATTACAAAGCAGGTGCTGCTGCACAGGCACTGAGGTCATCTGTGAGCTTAAATAAACCAGGGAGGCCTACTGGGGAACAGTACAGCAAGTAGGCAGAGCAGTTTCTGCTTAGCAGCAGAGGAAGCCTTAAAAATACTGTGTATGATTTAAACAGCTATTTTATTTTCACTCGGATTCAATCCCAGCTCGCTTTCCCTGTGATTGCCCTGAGCTTGCCCTGCAAGGACGTGCACTCAGAGCTATGCCCACCAATTCACTGCTGCAAATCTGTAATTCCACGTCACAGCCATGATGCTGCTGGAAGAACTGCCCTGCTGCTTTCACAGGACATTCTGCAGGTCTTCATTTCTTTCCTTCAGTGGTTGTCTCACCAACATCTTATTAAGGGAGCAGCTGGTGATTTTCAGCTTTTTGGCTTTTTGTTGTCTCCCCCCAGGTAAATGTACAAACATCTCTGTGTAGATTCCAGCCTAGAAACACAGCCCTGTGCTCTTAAACACAAACTGCACATTTATAAATAAATGAGGTCTGGATTTTAGGCAGCAATATCCATATGTAAAACATCTTATGCAGCACTGTCACAGCCTGCAGAGAGGACAAGTAACTTACTGTCTGGCAGTTTGCATCTTCTAAATATCTCCATGAGCTCATCCACTTGAACAAAGGGACCCTGATTTGTTACCCAAAAAAAAAAAAAAAAAAAGTTTAGAAGGTTATTTTCAATAGAGTGATACAGACTGTGGTTCTGTCACAGCAGAATCTCTTCCACAGCTTTCTGCAATTTTGAGAAGGCATTAAAACAAACCTGAAAACAAATAGGAGGTGGCAGGAGCTTCATGAGAACTACAGCTGCTGGGGGAACAGGAAATACACCACCTGGGACGGGATGTAAACCTGGAGCTGTGGGAAGAAAAACTGTGTGAAGCCAGTGCAAGACAGCTAGACCATAATTGTTTCTGCAGCGTTATTATTTGATGCAAATAATTACTACCCTGTCCCTCTGGCCTCTCTACTAATTACATATTGTTTAGTCAGTGATCTGCTCTATGAGCACTGTGTGTAACAGCTTATTATCGTTTAACCCAAACTACTCGTACTAATTTCCATGTGACCTTAATACCAAGGCAAACACACACAGTGAAATAAGAGCCTACAATTTAAGTGCAGGTTTAGCTGACTGGAGACTGGGGAAGGCTCTGATCAGGCTGACTCAACACACAGGTTGGTAACTCGCCGCCAGGTGAAACACAACCACCCCCCACCCGGGTCTGACTTACGTGCTAAGTGTCTTGGCTGAAATGGAATCATCTGCTGAGTGTCTGGTTTGGGATATTCGGGTTTCCTGTCCACCTCATCCTTGAGAACAGGCACGATGGAAGGTGCAACCACGGGGTCTGGAATTATCGCCGCTAGCTTGGCACGGGACACGTCCTGAGAGAGGCAATCGGAGAGCGCTGAACTTGGCAGGACCACATGGCTTGTTTAAAGTACAGAACAAAACATCTTGCCATCGTTATCATTTCAGATGTCCCCTTGCAAGACCATCTGGGCAGAACTTGCACGTTTTCATCAAGCATTTTAGTCCTACAGAGCCCCAGCTGGGAGTGGAAACCCTTGTTCCTGTTATGGAACGGGACCGCGGTTGTCATTTTTGATCAGCTCCATTTTTAGGTTAAAAAGATTTAGGTGAACAGGTGCAGACCACTAGGCCTTCACAACTATCATTTCTCCCTCATTTCATTCCCTAGATTGCTTTAGCTGGAAGAGGAGTAAAGCATAAGGCAGTCAGCAGGCGTGCAAAGCATCAGTTCAAACAGGATTACACGTCTTGGCACATTCCAAGCAACAGGAATCGGCCCAAGGGCTGAACCATCCTAAGTACACACCTTGCAAGACCTTCCCTCTTGTACCCACAGCTTTAACTTCAAAATAACTTTGTCCCCACTGCCTTCAAAGGAAGGTGATCAGTGGCTCAGTGTGACTCTGGTTTCCACCTATCAGATTATTTTAATGCTCCGTGACGAACAACAGCTCAGCTGCTTTGCCAGCTCTGATGTCACCTGTATTTCTTCTGGGTAAGAAATAACTGGAGGCTGAAGCACTGTTTTAGGAACATTAATTGAAGGCCCTCTTCCTGTCCATGCAAATGGCAGTCAGCTGTTTCTCTGGCACCCTATTTACTTCAGGCTTAAAAAAAATATAACCCAACATTTTGGCCCGTTCTAATGGGTTTGGAAGTGCTATGGCCTTCCACATGACTGAAACGGTAGTTAAAATATCTATGTGGTTAGAAACAAGACAGGAGACCACCAGACAACTGTAAATTGAAGTGTTGTTACCCACTTACCTTATAGCCAAGGGCCTTGAGTTCACTGGCAGAGCAAGGGTACAAATCCATGAACTTGTACCTGTCCACCAGCAGAGCTGTTTCTTTGCCCTCATACTCTTCCTTGAAGGCTGTAAACCTCCTCTTTTCAACTTTCAGAATGCTGGCCAAATCACCAATGTTGCTTTCAAAGGCTAAAAAGCGAGCCCAGATTTCCCTGGAAAAGAACAGATCCAGTGACAGTTCCTGAAGGAGAAGGAATTACTGATCCCAACCCACTTAAAGGACACAAAGATTTACTTCAGATGCATCTAAACATGTATTGCCTTCCCAGGGCCTTATATATTCCTGTAAAAACTTTCAATCCAGTGGATTGAAAGGACTTTGTTATGGAAGGATTACTGGTGTCAAGGACTTAGCATTTGGGGTGAGCTTTTCTCAGGGTAAGACACACAAACATATGCCAAGGACTTTCCAACATGTACATTATGATCTAATTCTTCTGCACAGACCAACATATTCTAACAGCACCCTATGACACAGCAGGCACTGCCTCAGAATTTTACATAGCCCAAAATATATACAATTACTGCAGATTTCTCTGTGGAAAATCTCAGCTGTAACTTAAGCAAATCTGTGCCTGATTTTGTCCTGCTGTTCATGTTTCTGATTTCTCTGGGATATTTATGGGTGAAGGGGGTTTTTGGTTGTAGTGAAACTGCTTTTGCAGACATACCCAGATTTCTCAGGTGGAAGGCTCCCCGAAGTTAAAACACGTTCAAACAAAACTCTTGTGTTGTTGTCCTCTTTAAAAACAGAAAGAAAAAAAGAAAAATCACACTAAGTAACATTAAAGACATTTTAAAGTCATGTCCATTCAAAGAAATGTGTACATTGAATTAGATATAAGGCTGATGTTCTGATACTTGGATCTGAATTTCAGTAAGTATAAAAAGAATGCCCACACAGAACTTTACTGGTGTTAAATTCCACTGCAGATTTGTTCTGTGGGAGTTTATTTTTGTTGATAGCAACAAACTGATCCTAATCCAGGTTCTTCTATAACAGCACAGCAATTGCTTGGCATCTCTTCAGGATTTCTGTGTTTGTTTGGGTTTTTTTTCCATTTTCTTTAATTATCAGAATAGCGTATCTTGATTGAACTCCCAGTTTCTGCCCCATTTATTGTACCACATCTTACAGGAGTTCAGACATCAAGTCCCTTGGTTTTCAGTAGCCTGCTGGGTTCTTAAAACAGAGCAACACACCAGGGAATTTTAAGAACATTTTTTTTTTTTCTGATGGCATTGTAAATAATCATGTGTAGACCCACAATAATTTATTGCCAAATTAAATATACTGGAACTTGGGGGAAAAAAAACAACAACTCTGTTTACAGCTCACAGGAGGAAAAAAAAACCTCCAAGCCTGTTCAAACTTTCAAAAGCAAGGTGTGTTACCCCTCTGCCCACTGCAGATCAGCTCCCTGGCAGTGGCCAAGCAGGACTGATAAGCACAACATGGATTTTGTATCTTGCTCATCTTTTCTACCTGGGGAGAACGAGTTTAAATTAATTCCAGTCAGGACCAGCTAATCCCTCACTCCTCTCACACTGCTTTTAAAGTCCTACAGATCTTTTCCCTCAGGATTTAGATTTCTCAGTGCACTTCCCACCGTTCACAACAGGTGCTGTAAAATTCCTGCAGTGTCAGCGAGTTAAAATTTGGGAAGTTCACTCTCCTCTAATCACTCTCCAGATCTGATGTTCTGGAACTTCAGT